TTTGATGGCCAATTAGGGACTTAATTAAAGAAATCCAAAACCAAGGACCAAATTGTAAACACGCCCAAATTGAAGGTTTGATTTTGAATCTAAAGCATTTTGGCGCCAAATCTCATTTAAATGAAACGACGTATTTTGAAAAAAACGACGCTATTTTATACACTGTTCATATGCACTATTCATTAAAAAAAACGGAAAACTCAAAAACAGTGCCGTTTTGAATAGCACCATCATCTTCTTCCCCTGGACACGCAGAGAACAGGGAAAGAAAATGTGTTTTTCTCCTCTATTTTCACTGATCTTTTTACCGACAATTCAACTTCAAAAAGACGTCGACACAACCCACTTTCCACGTGCTCAAAGAATAGTGGAGGAGCAGCTGCACAGTGGTCGTCCCAACCATGTCCCCTCCTCTGTTTTTTGCCTATAAAAGCAGGGGAGGCAGTAAGTAAAAAAAGGGACAGACACGAAGAGAGGAAGAAAAAGAAGGAGAGAAGGAAACCAAAAGCAAGAGAGAGGAGAAGAGAAAAGAGAGAGCAAAAAAAAAAAAACAGAGAGAAGAAGAAGAAGCAGAAAACTATGAAAAACCGAGGAGAGAGAGAGAAAAAAAACACAGCAAAAACACTAGTCACCGTGTCTCCACCGCCAACAGCACCTCCCCGACGCCAATCCCAGGTAATCTCCGGCTGCCTTGTCTCTTTATTCTTTCGGTCTGCATTAGCATGCAGAACGTGAATTAATTCACATTCTGAAGCAAATGAAGGAGGGGGGGCTGGTTACTGTACACGGGCCACTGTAACCAGCCCATTTGGTTTTGAGCCGTGTCCGACCCAACCCACCGATCTGGGCCGAGTCCACCCCATTGTTTTTAAAAATTAGCTGGTTACTGTACACGGGTCATTGTTTGTACAGTAACCAGCCCATTGATCTGGCCCGGGTCCGACCCAACCCATTGATTTGGGCCGAGTCCGGTCCATTTTTTAAAAAATATTTTTATATTTTTATATTTTTATTATTTATGTCTTTTTGCTTAGTATTGGTTTATATTTTATGGAAAAAAAATACAAATCTGTTATTAAAAATACCTTGGATTAAAATACTGATTTTCATCAAAACATTGAAAAAATAGAAAAAAATGTGTTTTTATTTTCCTATATACGACCAAGTCTCTCAAAAAAATTCATTTCGTATTTTCATACAAAAAAGAAAAATTCAAAAAATATTTAGCATACATTTTGACTTTAATAACCAGTTTATTAAAGTCAAGAGAACATTGACCAAAATATAAAAAACAACAAGAATTTTTTTTTTTTTCAAAACAAGGCAGCCTACCTTAGGTAGGGCATAGTTGGGGTGCTAATACCTTTCCTTTACGCAACTAGTCTCTGTACTCGAACTTTAAAGACCAGTTAGGGTTCCTAGTTACCAGAATATTAGGTGGCGACTCCCATTGAATTTTTTCACTGATAAGAGACAAGAATTCCTTGTCTCTTCATATCTTGCTAGAAATACACCACATCCCATCGTTAGCATGGATGATGGATGATCGCTGCGAAGCCACACACGTGCGACAGAAACATCACGTACTGTTTGAGAAACGCCTCTACTAAACGCCTCTATTATTATTATTATTATTATTATTGTTGTTGTTGTTGTTGTTGTTGTTGTTGTTATAATTGTTGTTTATAATTTATACAATTAACCTCCCTGTGGTTTG